GTCAGAGAAGCTTTCAGGCCGTTTAGAGCCCTCTACGGAACGCTATGTTTTATTCCGAATGGGATGAGACCCTGGAAGATGAATAAACGAGGAAGATAATTTCGGCCTCTGTTCAGTGCCTTGAAGAAAACAAAATAGGACGGGATAATAGAGAGGCCTGTGCCAGAGTGGTCCAGGAGAGCGTCCTTGAGGAGGTGACCCTGGAGCTGAGACCAGAAAGAGCAGGAGCCAGGAATTCAAAGGGCTGGGGGAAGGGAGAGGGAGAGAGACCAGGCCTTGGGAAATGAAACCAGAAGCAAGCCACCGGGTAGGGCAGGCCTGGGGAGGAGCCTCCGCCCGAGGGGGAGGGGGAGGGGAGAGGGAGGGGAGCGCCCCGCCCCCAGCCGGCCGCCCCACCCGGCCTCTGGGGAGGGAGCAGGCGCCGGGCCGGCTCCCGCCGCCGCCGCCTCCGGGGTATTCCGCCGCCCCGCCCACTCGGGGTGGGGGAGTGGGCAGGTGGGAGGGGCCTGCCCCGCCGGCCCCGCCCCGCGGCGGCCGCGCCCCATCCCCCCACCGCGGGCCGGAGGAGGGCAGTTTGGGGAAGGTGGACTCTGCCCTCAGACCCGGTCCCTCTGCGGGCGAGCCTTTGTATTTCTCTCATCAGTTCTTTAATTAGGCAGGAGCTAGGCCTCTCTGAGCCGCAGTTTGTTTATCCGGAAAGTGGGGGTGCTCCTCATACTGCCCTCACGGTGGTACTAGCAAGCTACACGATTCCTTTTTACTCAGTTATCTGTAAGGCAAAGAGGGCCTCTTAAAAGGTGAGTCAGGTCTCATCCCTGCTCTGCTCAGCAGCCTTCCATGGCTTCCATCTCATTCGATAAAGCTCAGTCCTTCACTTCATGTCCAAGGATGCTCTCTTCTCGTACACTCTGCTGCAGCTACACTGACCTCTTCAGGGTCCCGCACTCCACTCATGCACTCCACTCATGCTCTGACCTCAGGGCCTTTGCACTAGCTGTTACCTCTGCCAGGATCGTCCCCCCCCTCCCCCGGCCTGACATGACTCACTTCTCACCTCCTTCAGGTCTTTACTCAAATGTCACCTTGTCAGTGAGGCCTTCTCTGGCCATCCCATTGAAATAACAACACCCCAGCCACTTTCTTGCTTTCTTTTTCTCTACAGCATTTATCACCTCCTAACAGACTGCATATTTCACTCATTTTTCTATGTATTTCAGCCTTCCCCAACTAAGCTGTGTGAGAACAGGAGCTATTTTATTCCCGTGCCTGGAAGAGCACCAGGCCCACAGTAGGCACTCAATAAATGTAAGCAATTATTGGAATCCCTAGGGTACATCGGGTCCTCCTTTTCGTGGTTTACACAGTCGCTCGGTGAGGTAGGTACTACCGGAGGGCTGAGGTTGGGACATGCTGGTGTGTTTGAAGAACTGTAGAGAATGGTATAGCTGGAGCATAGGAGTGGCAGGGAGCGGGTAGCGTGAGGAAGATTAATTCAGAGAGGTAAGAGGGAGGGTTGACCGTTGCAAGGTCGGGAGTTCATTTTTTCAACAATAGAAAAAACCCCAACAACATTGTTTTTGAGCACACACCTGTACTGAGCATAGTTCTATGCACTGGGGCATAGAGCTGGGCTAAGACCAGCAAAACCCCTCCCTCTCAGAGTTGCTAATAGACCAAAAGGCTAACCATAAACAGGTAATAAATAACTTGAGATAGGATAGGTGCTACTAAGAAAATCAAATAGAGTGTGGTGGGGGGATGGTGCACCTGGATGTGTTGAGCTATGCAAGGTAGGGAAGACAACTCTGAGAAGGGGACATTTGCATTGGTGAAGCTATAGGAGAAATGTCCTCTGGGCCATTAACAAGTGCAAAGGTCCTGGGGTGAATGAGCTTGGGATGAAATGAGACCAGTGTGACTGGAGGTGAGGAAGAGTGGGAGATTCAGTTGTGAAGTTAGGAGCAAGATTGCCAGGTCTTACAGGCCTTGGTGAAGTTCAGGTTTTATTCTGGGTATGAGAAGTCACTGAGAGTTTTAAGTAGGGGTAAGATATGATCCAATGGGCATCTATATTGAGATGTGAAACACATGTGCCTCGAGGTTCTCATGACCATCTCTTCTCGATGTTGATTGGCACCCATTGGGCAGCTACCCCACTGCTTTCAGATTTAGATGCAAAGCCCCTCTCTGGGCAAGAATCTTGGCTTTGGGCCAGAAAGCACAGGCAAAATCCCCCTCCTTTCCTGGCCTGTGGACTCTGCCCTGATGTGGTTCCTCTTTGCAGACCTTCCAGAAAAGTCCCTAATGCTGTGTAAACTCACCTGCTGAGTCTTCAAAGGTCTTTGCAGACTTAGCCAGTACAGCAACATATCACACTGCACCTTCCCAGCCTCCCTCTTTTCTCCACTCACCAGCCTGGGCTTGTACCTCCTAAATAAACCCTTAGCACTGTAACTGAAGCCTGATCAACAGTTTTCTATTAAGATCTTTTTTTTAATAGTTTTTAATTTTTTTTTTTGAGAGAAAGAGCAAGAGAGCACACAAACAGGGGGAGTGGGAGAGGGAGAGGGAGAAGTAGGCTCCCCGCTGAGCAGGGAGCCCTACTCAGTTCGATCCCAGGACCCCAAGATCATGACCTGAGCTGAGGGCAGACGCTTAACCGACTGAGCCATCCAGGTGCCCCTAGAAAGATCTACACTTAATGCTATCTTTGGGCATTTTCTTTCCCCTCTGGACCTCAGCAATACCTTGCATACAATTTTAAGTGCTAAGAGTGACCTATCCTTTTGGTAATTCATGGGACTCAGCTTCTCCCTCCTGTGTGCACCCATGTGGCTAGGGATCCAAGTTTACCAAGAAGCAAAAACACAATGTCTGGGGGCGCCTGGGTGGCTCAGTCATTGGGCAGGCATCTGCCTTCGGCTCAGGTCATGATCCCAGGGGCGTGGGATCCAGCCCTGCATCGGGCTCCCTGCTCAGCGGGAAGCCTGCTTCTCCCTCTCCCACTCCCCCTGCTTGTATTCCCTCTCTCGCTGTCTCTCTCTGCCAAATAAATAAAATCTTAAAAAAAAAAGAACTAGTGTCTGGAGGCCAACTTAAGAGTCCCCTGGTCCTTGCTTTTCTTGCGGTGTGATGGGGAGCAAGTGATTTGGCCCCTCTGAACTTGAGGTTCCTCCTATGTAAAGCCTGTTAACAGAATTCTGTATTATCATGAAGATTAAATGACTTAATTCAAACAAAGTGGATAGAATAGTACTCTTAACAAGTACTCAGTAATTATTATGTTTAATAATACGCCTGCCCCCACTTTGGCAGGTAAGGGGTGCAGGTGGGGAACTTACCAGGTCCTTCCCAGTGACCCACTGAAATTTAGAAACTTTAGGCAACACCATCCCTTCCAAAATACTTTTATTAAAAAAAAAAAAAAAAGTCATTACAAACAAGCAAAAAACAAAGAACAAGACCCACCACAAAACCCGCCTTTCTTTTAAATAATGCGGCATGGAGCAGTTTGGTTTCCACCCTATTGCACGTGGTCCGGCCTGGTTATGAATCAGGAGACTGCTGGGACTGGGGTCTTGCCAAAGAGGTGGGGTTCAACCTTGGGGGAGGAGGCCAGCCCCTCCTGCTCCCTTGAGGTGCAAGAGGCAAAGTCTGAGTTCCCATAGCAACCAGGCAGCACATCCCCGTCATCCTCTGACAGGCCCAGCTTTATCTTCCCTGAGGCCCCAGTGGTCACAAGGGGAGTAGGAACTGGAGGGAAAGGCAGAAGAAATGTGGGAAGTGGGAAATCAGACTCCCAGAAACAGAGTCACGTTAAGGCATTTGGAACAGATAAATTAATTCAGGAAGACCCACCTTCACAGAAGGCTGTGGTAACCACACACACATGCAAGACGGTTTGTGGAACCCTGAAATGGGAGGAAAGGAGGCCACAGTCATTGCTTAGAGACCCCACCAAAACACACATACATACACACACACACACACACACAAACAGGTGCATCCAGGGATCCAGCCCACCGAGGCTGAGATGAGGAAAGAGCCCCCAAAGTTTTAGGATCCCAAAATGATTTCCATAATGTGATCGAGTTCATTCCACTCCCAGGACCCTGGGGCACAGAAGAGGTTGTGAGGGGGCTCCGGTGGGGCAAGTGCAGGCTCCTTCTCTACTGCAGATGTGTCAATGTCCAGAAAAAAGTCGTCCAGACCCGAGTCCCCCAGGTACCGGGAGCTCAGAGCTTCTAAGAAGACTGGATCAGGCTGGGGCAGCCCTTCGTTCTGGGGTCCTGGGGGAGCCACTGGATTCTGAGGGGGCTCTGTCTCATCCATGGACGTCTCCAATTCCCTGAGAATAGAGCCGATGGTGGCTGACAGGGAGAAGTCCTCCTCGCCCAGGAAGAGGGGCTCAGGGGGCAGGACAGGTGCTGGAGCCAGGCACAGGGCGGCCTGGAGCTGCTGGAGGGTATTGTGGATGAGGACATGCCTGCGTAGGCTCGGTGCTCGGGGACCCAGGCTTCGCTGGACTTTGTCTAATGAGATTCGAAGCAGGGCTTGCTGGTAGCTCCGCAGGCCTGCTGGACCCCAGTCCCACTTCTCATCCTCCTCTTCCTCCTCCAAATCTGAGTGTTTCCTCTTCAAGCCTCCTACCATGGTGCCCTATAGAGAGAAGAGGGGCAAGTCAGACGCAGAGGGGCTAGTTCAAATCCCAAATCTATAAAATGGACATAATATGCGGGATGCCTGGGTGGCTCAGTTGGTTAAGCGGCTGCCTTCGGCTCAGGTCATGATCCCAGGGTCCTGGGATCGAG